TAGTTTATTTGTAAATCTACTTTTTTGAAGAGCATTGTCGTACAATTCCTTGTTTTTATTAAAAATATTCTTATTAGATGAAAGCTTACTAATTCTGGAGCCAACAGTAATTTGTATCTTCATCAAGATAGTATAGGGGTAGTTAGAGTCAACATTAATGTTGTTAGGAATTTTTTATTTTTTATAGTAAGGTTTACATGTATTAGTATTCAGGTTAAGTGTGATGTCTAGATAATCTACGATTTTGAGGTTGAGGTTGGAAGTAATCTCTATCTTAAATGTAACTTAAAAGCTCTAATAATTTTTTCTGTAATTTTACGGTAAGAGGACTATTACTGTTAGGAACATAAATGAATCCATCATCTCTATACAGGCCTACTAGTTTAGGTTCAACAATTCTATTAAGAATTTCCAGAATATATAGGCAGACAAGATCAACAACCTGAGCCGAATCATACGCTCCCACCGGGACGTCAAAATTGTCACTCCTGCACTTAATACAGGTGGAATCATTAAGTGTTAAGAGCGATTTCCTGACAGTAAATATGATATTGATTTCATCATCAGATATCTCAATATGGTTTTTAGCAAAATTTATGCAACCAGTTAAGAGATCTCTGGAAACAGATGGATAAAAGTCAATGATATCGAACTTAATAAAAGTTGCTCTCTTTTTACATCTCATATTATTGAGCCATTTGATGGTATCAGATGAAACTTTCCAAAGATTGGCACCGGTTGTAATTAGTAGTTTGTCAGTTATTTTTTTAATTATATTTTTTGAGATTATACCTAGCTCAGATTTAGTGGGATTAATTAATCTAGTTTAGTATTATTCGAGAAGTTGGGTTTATAGTCTTTAAATAAAATATAGGCATCTTTGGTATGGATTTTCCCCATTCTATCAACAATATTAAGATTATTAGCTAATTCAGCCGTCGAATTGTCTATCTCAAAGATCCTATTATTATATCTATCTTTTTTTTTTTTTATAATTATCAGTAATTTTGTCCGTTAGGATCTTGTAGTATTTAAAAAGGTTACATATATATATGTTTTTAGACTAGTTACATTCCATTTTTTCTCTCTTTTTTTCTCCCTTTTTTTCTCTTTCCTCCCTTTTAATTTTTTTCTCTTTCTTATTTTTCTCTTTCTTATTTTTCTCTTTCTTATTTTTTTTCTCTTTTCTTTCTTTTTGTCGTCTTTCCCTTCTTCCTTCCTGTTTCTTTTAAGTTTAAAAAAAATTTAAGCTTCCTTTTTATTTTATCTTCAAACATTTGGTGTTGATATACCTCGGAAGATTAATTTCTTACGGGGAGAAATGGCCATACGTATCGGGTATTGAATTTCATATACACACACACATACATACATACACACACACACACACACACACACACACACACACACACATATATATATATATATATATATATATATATATATATAATATCATGCCCATTGTAGCGAACCACTTTCATTCCCTTCGCATTCCATTGGTGGGATGTAAGTTTCACTCGAGCAGCTTCTTCGCACAAAACGCTCCATTATGGAACCAACTCCCAAGAGGATACTTTCCTGATCACTATAATCTTAATCTGTTCAAGTATATATACTTAGATTATTTGTAAACATCTAACTACATACGGGTGCACCTCTAAAACTATGGATAGTCAGAGATTGGCAACTGATCTCTCTTCGGACTTAGCACAAACTACCCAGTGGGGTAATAACTGGCTAGTGACATTCAATGCTTCTAAAATCAAACTCGTTACATTCCATCATCGCTGATCGGACTCCGAACTACTGCCAGTTACGATAAACGGCTATCCCCTTGGGGAGGTACCGTACCTTGAGAGACTTATTGGGCCTCAAACTCACACCTGACCTTAAGTGGAACTCCTACATACGATCCATTGTATGCAAAATGGTTGGCTGTCTATACTGCTCCAGCATGTACCCAACTCCACATGCTATCCTCTAACTTTCCAAGAGCCAGATCAGTCCAAAAATGGAGTAGTGTTGTCATATTGCCGCGGGAGCTGCCCAAACCATACCCTCCTTTTATAGTCCAAAAACGTCTACGAGCCCTTGTGGATGTTGAATTATTGACCACCATTCAACCTTTCTCTCATAGGCTGGATGTAGCAAGCCTCTCGCTGCTCTGTCGCTACTTCCATGGAAAGTGATCGGATGAACTACATTCCTTGCTTCCTCCAGCTCTAACCTTCACGGCAAGAACCCACCATGCCACTTACATAGTAGCAAACCACCTACATTCCCTCCGTATTCCATCGGTGAGAAGTTCCACTCAAACAGCTTCTTCCCGCGAACCACTACTCTGTGGAACCGAATCCCAAGAGGATGTTTCCTCGATCACTACAATCTTAACCTGTTCAAGTCTAGGATTAACCGATATCGTCTTCTCCTATCCGTACAAATTGTCTTTTAACGTAACCCTCTATCTCGAGTAACTCCCGGGCCTTGTACAAGGTGAAGCTTACTGTTAAAAATAAATTCCCACAAACTCTATCTCTTACTTTGTAACCCTCTATCTCGAGTGGCTCTCGGGCCGTATACAGGGTGAACATTGTTGTAAAAGAAAAAAAGAATTTATCCCCAAAAGTTAAAAAAAATGGCTCATACAATCAAAAAGTCGGACAAATATTTAAGTAATTTTACAGTTGTATTTTCTGCATGAGTAATCTAGGGTTTTTATCTATAAAATTAATTTTATTGTAGCGTGTAACAAAGAGTTGTGATTTTTAAGTCATTAAAGTTAAAAATATCCCCTAAAAGCTAACACGAAACAAAAGGAATGGTGACACGAGTTATGTCTGCTTATTGGAATCGGGTAATCCTCCTAGCAGCTAAATAAATTAATCATTACTAAGGAGAGATCAGGCTGCGTAACCAATAAATATATAAAGTCAAACTGTATCTTACATTATGTTGTAGGTATGGTTTAAAAATAAATGATTAAAAAGCATAGTATTATTGCAGTTTTACATATATATATATATATATATATATATATATATATATAAAGAAAGAACAGTAAGATATATAATCCGGTGTTCTTATAGATATTTTTATTTTTACAAAATAGTGCTCAATGTAAATTTACAGAGCATTAATATTATAAATTAATTGATTTAAAATATAGTTTTTTTTCGCTACACAGTTCTAACCATGTTTCAAAAATGGAAGCTAAAATCTCCGAATTTAATTTTGTAATTAAATTAAAGACATTAGTTCCATTTCATCCTCAAGCGAATTTTGGAGTAACTTTTAAAATTAACTGGGTTTTAAAGACACAGCTAAAATCACAGCTAAAATCATAATTCACGTTTCCAAGGTTACAGATAAATCCACTTCCACTAGGGTGTCTGCGTGTTCATTCTTATTAAGGAAGAAGTAAGCTCTCCATCTCATCCTTCGTATGAGTTCCTCTGTTTTTTTCATTAATATCACGAAATATTCCTTTTTGGTGGTATTAGGAATGTTCTTCAGAGAAATTCCGAAATTTATTTTCTCCATATTTTCTTCTTGTTAAAAATGAAGATTTAGAGTGCTCGACTTTGATTAGGAGCCAATGTATGTATATATAAATAAAAAGAAAGAACAGTAAGATATATAATCCAGTGTTCTTATAGATATTTTTATTTTTACAAAATAGTGCTCAATGTAAATTTACAGAGCATTAATATTATAAATTAATTGATTTAAAATATGTTTTTTTTCGCTACACAGTTCTAACCATGTTTCAAAAATGGAAGCTAAAAGCTCCGAATTTAATTTTGTAATGGCCGTTCGAACTAACGAAAGAAAGGACACGCCTAATTATAATAGAACAACATCTGCTGTTATCAAAACTGCTTGGTCACTTGTGAGAAAGCATGTATTAAGTAAACAATTGATAGTCTGTGTTTATTTATTTTCTTAGGAAATGTTGCTCCTGTTTGAATCGGGCAAGGAAAATAAAGACTGGATGTATGAGTAATTATCATTCATAGCCCCAGATGAGGGGGATGAGGGAGCTGCATCACCCCACCTTTTTCTAAAATTGAAAACTTTTTTTTAATCATTTCACCCGAAGCAAGGTAATAATGCCACTAAGACGCAAGGAGCTACTGGGAGTGAAAGAAAATAAAAAGATTTTAGAATGAACCGGAAACCCGATCCTAAACAGTGAACAAGGAAAAAACCTCTACTCCTGTCCAAAAAACCGAGGAGGAGTATGAACCGGGTGATAGGCGAACCTATCTACTCCGATTGAGGAGAAAAAATATAAATAATTAGTAAACAAAAAATTGATTTTTAGTTTTTGACGGAGACGTTAGAAGTATAGAGTTGAAGTAAACCTCAGAAGGAACCGGAAACGCAATCTTAAACAGGAAATGAGGGATAGATCTCTACTTCTGCTCAAAAGACCGCGTGGAGTGTGAACTAAGTTGGGACTAAACGGATTAACTTTATCTCCTTGCTCTAAATCTATGATAATGCTATTGAGCTATATTTTTTCTTCTTCTTCTTTCCCTTCAGAACGTAAGCGAAGATGGCTCTCCACAACTTCTTATCCTTCGTGGCCCTTAGCAGCGTTTGTCTCTTTGCTAATACTCCTTTCCGACATCTACTCACTCGACATCATCAGGTAGGTGACCCATTGCATTCATCTACCTCTCTTGCCCTAGATACGTCCCATGAATGCTAAGTTTTGCAAGCCTTCTTTCCTCATGATGCGTACAAGACATTTCAGCAGCTCTTTTCTGATTCTGAGTATAAGTATTCTTTTTGTTACCGTTTCCTTCCTTGTTTCCTGCTCGCTTCATTCATTGAATTATTAGTATCTTTCCGTAGAACCACATTTCTTTTGCCTCTAGTAGCCTCATGCCATACGAAAGGATTAATATCACATTTGTCTAAAATCAATACTGTTATTGATTTTCAAAATAAATAAGGAAACTTCATTTTTCGTTATTTTTTCGAAACGTTAGGGCTTACGGTCATATCACGTTGAAAAACAGGTTCCCGTACGATCATTGAAGTTAAACAACGTCGAGCCTGGTCAGTTACTAGATGGGCGACCGCTTGCGAATACAAGGTGTTGTAAGCTTGGTGGTGTAATGGATAATGGCTCGGAAATCTCCCTCCCCCAGCTATAGGTTAATTAGAAAGACTTGTATCAGTAAATCATTATTATCTAAAAAATCTTACAAGCTAAAAATATTTTCTGGCTTTAAATAACCTGATAAGACGTAAAAAATGAATGTGTCAGTTAAACGAAACATTAGCTTCTAAATCTTTTACATAAGTATTATATGCGGAAAATGTCTATAGTTCTCATTTCAGAATATAAATACAAACGAATAGCGAAAAATATGTATTTAAAATCGAAACAAAAAAAAAATTGTTTAAAGTAGGATAACACTGGTCAACACGATTTTTGGTGCCAAGAAACAAAACATGTTTTTCAGCTCCTTTCATGGTGCTGATTCTGAAAATGACCTTAGGTTTTCATGGTTAGTTACCAGTTTTGCTGTACTGAAATTGGTCATTTTTGGAAAAAAGATTACGATCTTGGCTGATCGCAAAATTTAGTTAATAAAGGTCGTAAAAACTTATCAATTTTCAGGTAGGCCGAGCAATTTATGCTAGCCACATGAAATAAACTATTTCTATAAGAAAAAAATATTTTTCAGTTAAAAATTTTAAAATAAAAGTACCGATTTTTCCAATGTATCGCCAAAATTTAAATAAGCTGATAAACCTTATCAGTAATACAATTTAGTAAATCTGTTAATTACGGCGACATCAAAAAATGTTACCGTAAAATCTTCTGTTTGATATTCATGAATTTATCCCATCACTTTTATCCCTTCACTACAGAAGGGAACCAAGAACATTGAGAGCATTTTGTTTTCACAGTTGGAAAGAAACTCCAACTAAAGACATCCCAATTGAATGCAACTATTCCATTGCATATGATTCTACAGGAATATCAAAAGGGTCTTAAATGACATTAAACATGACAGACAATCAAGAAAGAGAAAATTTTTTACCATAGTTCTTATGTTCACGAAGGTTTTATTTCTGCTGTTAGTTTATTAAATGATTTGATGAAAATACTTGTTGGTTTTGGTATATTCAATCATTTTATTCTTAAGGACTTAGGATATGATTGTTATTGCAAAAATAGTATTTCTCAATAACCGGACCAATATTTGTTGATTTAAATACGAATTGAGAAGTTTCTACGATTTTATTTTGAGAAATACTGACATCGGTCAATATCATATATACAGAAAACAAATGAAAAAAATGTTTTTTTTTGTTTTTTTTTTATCAAAAATGAGACATTTCTATACAGCAAAAACAGTAGCTAACCAAGAAAAATTAAAGTCATTTTCAGATTCAGCTCCCGCAAATTAGCTAAAAAAGATGTTTGGTGTCTCGACACGATTTCAGGTTTTTTTTTTGCTGACCAGTGTAATAGATATAAAATATTCATTTTACGAGAGGATAAGATAAAAAAAAATAGAATCATTAAATCTCCTATTTTAACAAGATTTAGAACCCCATCATTTTATCACTCTTCCATTTTATTTTGTGGCGTCCTGTTTGATTATGTCTATCTATTCTATTGACAGTTAATGATTTTCCTCATACCCGCTCAAAAGTTTAAAAAATCAAAGAAAATGTTTTCGACTATCATGCATCACGCTTGACTGTAAATTGTTCTGATTGCAATTAGGTTTAAAGTTCTATTGATTTGATTTGCGTTTTACAGCTTATCAACCTTTTGTAGGTTATTTAAAATCAAAAAATATTTTTGCATTGTAAGAATTTTTGAGATAACAATGGTTTACTGATACAATTACTATTATTTAACCCATGGCTGGGGGAGAAAAGGTAGATTCATACCTTTTCCAAGGGCATTTGCGCATATATTAAGTGAATATAATGACCCCGACTTGAATTTGAACACGGCTCTCCGATTTACAATTGCCAACTGTTATCCATTACACCAACCACACATCCAAACTTAAAGCATCTGTTTTTCCCAATCGATTACCCATTTAGGTGTAACCAGGTACGCCGTTGCTTAACTTCGGTCATCGTACGAGAGCAAGTGTTTCAAAGTGATATGGCTGTAAGTCAGTTCTATTGGAAAATGCATGTCTTTACTTTAGAGGATAGGTGAGTTGATAGTTTAATTATTATATGGGAAGGACAAGGCATATTGTTATTCGGACACAGCACGTCGCTAATTGCATTTATTTTAGATAGAATATCTTTTGTTCCACCGACTCCTTACGGCGCACTCCGAGTTTGACTTCTGATTAAGCTGAGCGCTCATCACGAGTCTCTCATTCTACCCAACATTTGATAATAATAACTTGTAATATTACAGTTTTCTTTTTATCTCTTTTTTTTTACGGGGGTCTGTTCGTTTGTTTGTTTTCAACTAGAACTGTGACTTTCAATGAAGGTGACATTTGAAAAATATAATAGTCTAACTTGAATTATAGCTTGGCTAATTTATCTCGTCTTTGTATTGGGCAGCTGGTTTTTAAATTTTTCACAGTATACACGGATATCCTGGTGGTGGAATAATTAGAATCTTAGTTCGTTTAATTCGCTTTCATACAAATATCCATTGGGAAAGGTCTGAATCTATTCTTCTCTCACACAGCAATGGGTTAAATAGCAGAGGAGAATTAACACCCAAGTCGTAGTTAACAACTAGGATATAAGAGAAGGACAATTCTGAATTCAAAACTGTATGTGAACTGGGTGGGTAAAATACTGTAGGTAAAGTTCGCCCAGCTTAGTTACAGTTTTAACCACAGGTTGGTTAACGGTAATCAAATTGACCTGAGCAGATGAGCATGCCTGGAAAGGAGCAGCTATGCAGAAGATAAGAAATCACGCTAATTTGCAGTGTGCTTTTAAGTCGAAACAGTTCTGATGATGATGATTGTATACACTGTTGCGTCTCTGTCTTCGGGTAGAATGCGACTCGGTTATAGCTCCGTCAGGGGACAGAGGCGCAACTGAGGAAAATCACACTATGAGGTGCCCAGCTCTGGGGAACAGATGCCTGAGGCTGTACCCTCTCTTGCAACAGAGAGAAAGGGATCAGTGCTCGCACCGAGGCCAGCGCAACCGACAGTTGCGCGGGCTCGGGGAATTTTGGTCCGAGTGTACGCGCTCAGGTTGCCTACATTAAAAACCGACCTTGTCACATCTCGTCTCAGTAGGGAGGCCAGGGTAAATATTTATACACCCTAACCAGAGACTCGAAGACATCATAGTGGTAAATATATTCTGTATCCTTTTGTGAGCTGGGACAAAAAGTGGACAAGGCCTCTGATCAGGAGGTTTTTTGGAACCACCTCTTAATTGCTGGTATTCCCACGTCCACCTTGACCCGTGGTGGTAGCATCTGTTAGGGTCCCATCTATGGGCAAATAGTTAATCCCTAAACTGAGGTCAAAACACTATGAAAGTGTAAAAATAGGTTTTAATACCAGAAATACATTTTTGTAAAAAATTATTACCAACAATACATTTTTACCAGCAATACATTTTTGAAAAAATATTAACAGCAATACATTTTTGAAAAACAAAATATTACCAGTTATACATTTTTTGAAAAAAATATTACCAGCAATAGATTTTTGACGAAAAAAAATATTACCATCAATAGATTTTTGGAAAAAAATATTACCAGCAATAAAAATTTTTGCCGGCATTTAATAACCCATTGAGGTTGATATGCCGTAAAGCAAAACAAACCAAACCAAATATCTGGTCTGATGTTTTTGAAATGTATCTAGATATTTTTGACAAAATCTAAAGAACAATCGTCAACGTTATCGGTCCTGACCTGGCACCTCGGTTTCAGTCGGTTTCCCATCGCCGTAGGTAGTTTCCTTTGCTTCTCGTATAAATATTTTCACAGTAATTATTCTGATCAGTTTTGCTAGTTGGCATTCTGATTTCACGAATTTAAGTGCAGTACAAGATTGGCAGTTAGGTCTCATAATGTAACTGTTGAAATTTCTAGTTGTAACCATTAGTTATATACTAATTGTTTCTTCTCTCGCACTTCTCGCTTGTGGAAATCTCTTCCGACTTCCTACTTTCCTGTTAAATACGATCTTCAAAAATTTGAATGTGACATCAGTCTTTGTCATCTGTCTCCTTAAATCCTGTTCTTCTATTGTCCTCTTTGTTTCTGCCACTGTCAGTAGCCCTTGCATCTTAGTGGCTTTATTGCCTTGCTTGCAGTGAAGTATTTAAAAAAATCGTAGCCCGAAAAGTAAAGCCATCGAGAACAGACTTCGGCGATCTATACATGTTTACTATTATGCAGAGAAATACCAGAACATGATTTATTAACCAACAAACCAGAAACTTTCTTTTTGAACTGTTGGTTTGAAAATAAATAAAAGCTTACGTTGTATTTTAATTTTATTTAAAAGCAAATCAATTGGGCGGGGACCAGAATTCTGTTATTCATTTTACATAGAAAACTAACGGAAGTATAAAATTTCGTTTTGTTTATTCCTGTAGACTTCTTGTACAGCACAGGACTGAAATCTTGCCAAGTCCTGTGGTTTCAATAGCTAGTAAATTTTTACGTAGTCTCGACGACCAAGTTGTACTATTAAATATGGATGTAGTCTGTATGATTAATTTTGCCCAAGAACAGATTTAAAAGAAAACTCTAAAGAAAGAGTAATTCTTTTTAAAAATCAAAACAAAAACTCTCTGACTTTCTTTATGCCATTATTTATGTGTGTTCGTGTGATACAAAAAATATTTTTTTAAATAGATAATTTTATTATTTTCCAATTTCTGTTTGCATAAGATAAATAGGTAAAGCGACCAAAGACAAAGTTGTCCTTTACTTTCAAGTCCATATAATAATTCGACAATATGACGTTTCTGAATATTATTATTATCGTCTGCTTGCAACGTTTTCTGAATATTATTATTATTATTATTATTATTATTATTATTATTATTATTATCTGCTTGCAACATTTTAGAAGGCTAGACTGCAAGAAATGGGTTGCCTACTGACTTTTTTAGGTTTAAAAAAGTATGTCAAATGAAATTTATTTTATTTCTTATTTTATTCCTTCTTGCTTGATAATGAAGTATATATAGCTATGTATGGCGTTCTTTACTTGCATCCCCATCTCCATCTCTCTCTATGTACAGTCTAAGAAAGTTAGAGATAAAACTTCATTTTGACTTCAAGTTTTACGCTATGAAGTGATCCTGACGGCTCAGAGAACGAAAAAGAGAGGTATGATCCAAATAATATGTTTATCATACGGGGGAAATGTCGGAAGTTTACATGTTTTTTCATGTGTTTTTCCTTCCTGGGTTATCTACATTACTACTTATATTAAGGTTGGCTATATTACTATTTTTTCCTTTTCTTTACTGTATGAGAATAGCTTCATAGTGTTAAAATTGAAATCACAGTGAAGTTTTGTGTTTCTGACATTTGGATTGAATTCCGGAAAAGCAAGCATTAGTAGTTCAGTCATGTATTGAATATATCTAACGTAAGAATACGTTATATAGTGGACCCTAACTGGGAAGAGAAACAGAGTCAGACCAAAAACTATCTGCCGGGGTCGTGTATTGTAGTGCAAACTGAATCGTTTATATTGACCAATGGTAGATGCATACGACGCAATTCTTTTATGCTTTTCATTTATTTTGTGACTACTTCATGGCAATGAATGTTTCGCCAGGATTCAGAAAGATGTGGTAGATTAATTCGGCTATGGATCACCAAACAATAACTTTTTTTGTGCAACTCCGGCTATGGGAAGTATTTAGGAGCTTCACCTCGGTTCAACCACTGTACTGAACCTCGTCGGTTGTTGTATAGGATCCACTTTTCATCGCACGCCACAATGCGATAAGAAAACTTGTCGTTTTTGTTGAGCAAAGATGACGTTTTAGAGAATATGGAAACAAAAAGCACCCTTACACTTAACATCAAAAGGGACAGTTGAAATTTCTAAGGCATATAATAAGGAAAGCGGACTAATAAAATTTGACATTCACGTATTGAAGGTAGGAAGGGCAGGGGGAAGCACCGCATAACCTACCGTACGAACTTTGTGGAAATGGTTGGTAGAACAGGGATTGGGAGAGATAGCGAATAAAACAAAATTTACTTAGAGCTACAAAGGATAACAAATTGTGGAGAGCCATGTTCGCTCACGTTCTAAAGTGACACGGTACATAATACTCAAATTTAACCAGCTACATAGGAAATTCCTTTAAAAAAACATACGCTCCAAATTGTTGGCTAACTATATTTGTTATTTTATAAATGCACACTGAATACAGACGGAAAACAAATTGAGTGAGGACACAAAAATAGAAATAGGCGTAAGACAAGGACATATCTTCTCACTAGATTTATTCAATCTCTACAACGAGTCTATCCTAAAGGAACTGGAGACCCTATCAGAATTTATGATTAGTGGACGCAATCTGAATATAAGTTACGCAAATGACACTGTGTTAATGGTTGACACAGAAACAAAACTACAGAACTTCCTAGACAATGTAGTAAATGAAAACTCTAAGAAAACAGAATGTATAGTTGTTAGTCATAGAAAAATCTCCAGATGCGAACATTGGAGCGGTCATCTGGTACAGAGGTCTCAGCCCTTGTCTTGATAGATTTCTTGATAGATTTCGTGCCCTTGTGGGTGATGAATTATTTTCCACCCTCTACCCTCTTTCTCACAGGCGATCACTGCTCTATTGCTACTTCCTTAGAAAGTGCTCGGACGAACTACATTCCTTGGTTCCAACACATCTAACTTTCAAGGTTAGGACCCGCCATGCTACTTACATTGTAGTAAACCACCCACATTCCCTCAGTATTCCATTGGTGAGAAGTAAGTTCCACTCGAACAGCTTCTTCCCGCGAACCACTACCGTATGGAACAGACTCCCAACAGGATGTTTCCCCGATCACTACAATCTTAATTTGTTCAAGTCTAGAGTTAATCATTATCTTCCACTCTTATTCGTAAACGTAACCCTCTAGCCCGAGTGGCTCTCGGGCCTTGTACAGGGCAAAACTTACTGTAAAAAAAGTTTAAGTATCTGTGAAGTGTTTTAACAGACGACGGAAAATTTGACATCGAAATGGAATAGTAAAAGATGTCTTTCAAAAGTTAAACAAATCATTAAGAAAACTTCGGTAGAAAGAGAGAAAAGATTGCTGAACTTCTATGTAAAACCAATCCTCCTATATGGCAAATGGTCCTTGCAGCCATTTCACATTGAAACACCAGTTCTCGTTCGATTACCGAAGTTAAGCAACGTCGAGGCTGGTCAGTATCGTGATGAATGACCACTTGGGAATACCAGGTGTTACAAGTTTGAATATACGAATGGTCTAATGGAAAACAACTCGGAATTGTTGATCAGAGGGCCGAGTTCCAATTCCAGTTGGGTTCGTTATATTCACTTACCCTGGGAAGACGCATAAATCCACCTCTTCTCTTCCCATTTATGGATTAATTAGTAGGACTTGGATCAGTAGATATTATCCCCCACTCCAATTATTATAATCTAAAAATATTTTCTGCCTATAAATAACCTACAAAAGGTTGATAGACCGTAAAAAAAGAAATCAATGAATAAATCCATCAATCACAGATGAAGAGATACTTTAGGCAACAGAGATGTGGTTCTACAGAAGGATGCGGTGAATACTATGGATGGAGCCTGTAAACAACGAGGAAGTTTTAAGGCAAATGGAAACAAGAAAGACAAGTATACATCAAACCAGAAAGAGTTAAAATTTATGGGGAAAATAATGAGAAAAGAAAACCTGGAAAATCTGACACCCAAAAGGCATTTTAACGGTAAACAGTACATAACCTACAACCTTGTGCAAATTACTTGAAACAAAACGAATAATTCCGTTATTATTTACTTTTTTCGTATTTTTCCAAGTGCACATGTTAGTAATTCGTATGTCCATTCCACAAAGTCGTTCCTTGCAGATTGACCACAGATTCTCGATTGGATTTAAATCAGGAGAGATTCCTGGCCAGTGTGTAGTACTTTGATTTGCTCACTGGTAAGGCTTGTCAGTGTGTTCGTGCAGCGTTAAAATTTTTGTACGCTTCCTTGGAGTAATGTCCATTGTAGACAATGGGCATAGGACAACTAATCGACAGTCGGGGCAATAGTGTCTTGTCGTGATAAAAATGCAATCACGAATGACGCAATATTTTTCAAGGCCAAACAAATTTAATCATACACCCCAAAAATAGATTCATATTACAGCACACCATTGCAAATGACCTAGTCTGAGGCAAAAATAGAAATCGATTACACTCTGTCACTCCAGTGGTTCTAAAAATGATCGTATGATGAAAGAAAAGAAACTAAAACGGTTGTTTCAATTAATTTGTACAAGGGTGTACCCAGCGAGTGTGTGTAAATGGATGACAAAACGGAGTGAGAGGGATAGTAAAAATACAAACATCGCTAAGAGTTACTAAGGATAGAAAGATGTGGAGAGCCACATCTTTCTAACCTCATGACATATAGAAGAATGCTCAAACAATTGAATAAAAACAAGGGAAAAAATCAAACGTACGGCTGGTGACAGTAAAATATTTTGATTTTAACCAGGTTGATCGTAAAAAAAAAAAAAAAACCAAAGAAACAAAAGAAAAAAATGGATTTTCAATGTCCACCTATTAATCTCTCAGCGGTTATATCCATGAGAAAAAGTATTTTTGTTACCGCATGATTCTGTCAGTTATAAATTTGCATGAGATTTCACAACGCCGACTACGGCCAATGTGAAGGTCATTCAATGGGTTCCCACCATCCATCAAAGTAAAAACTATCAATAACCTACAGTCTTTATTCAAAATCTATGCCAAATAAAAACCAACTCATTACATATGCATGTTTCCGTGTGTGCGTGTCCGCATATGCACACACATATGCACATCTTTCTTTCCCTCCCCACAACTTTTATATACTCAGCTTGATAGATTCTTTCAAACAGTGCATCGTAAACTTTACTCGTTGATTTAATATAATCAAAGTTGCGGTGCTGATCATTATCACGAAAGTCATTTAGACGTGGTGTAATGGTTAGCAAGGTTGTCTCGCGACATCAATTACGACTGAATAGTGAGTTCGAATGTTGGACGATTTCCTCAAAGATGAAGAAGAGACATGAGGTGACGGAGATGTAGTTCTAGAGAAGGACTCTAAGGATATCATGGATCGAGCGTGTGATGTCTTAGAGAGGATGCAAACAAGGAGGGGGCTTATACTTAAACATCAGGAAGAGGCAGCTGAAGTTCCTGGGACACATAATGAGGAAAGAGGGCCTGGGGAATCTGATACTCACGAGTTGAATAGAGGGAAATAGAGACAAGGGAAAACAACGCATGACATACCTAGCGGCCTTAAGTGGATGACAGAACGTGGTCTGCGGGAGGTGGCAGAGGGAAGGAACTTGTTGAGAGCTGCAAGGGATAGAGGGAGGTAGAGAGCCATGGTTGCCTACGTCGTGAAAGGACACGGCACATAGAAAGAAAAGACAGTAAGTTCGATGCTCCATACAAAGCACTCTTGAGTGAGCATCTTGATTTTGTGTATCAGCAGAATACAGCAGCCACTGTGATGGACGGGTCCTACTAACACATTTTATTTTTAGCTTGAATGTTTTGCATTTTATTTTCGTTATTATGTTATTATCTAATAATAATAATATGTGGCACATGAGAACATCAACAATCTCTGTTGAAGTTGGGGCCCTCGGATTGGTTGGAAAAGATTCCAGTAGACTCAATGAAGGAATTCCTGGTAGACCATGCCTCAAAGAAATACAAAAAAATGTTCTCACGAGTACAGCCCACACCTTACGAAGGGTTTTATCTATGTAAAATATGTATTTTTTTTTAGTTTTGTTTTTTTTAACTGCACATTGGAAAATGTCATGGTGCCATTTTTGACCTTAGGTCTCTGGTCGGGACCCGTAAAGAAATGAGTACACACCAGAAATCAAAGGAAATAAAATAATAATAATAATAATAATAGTTAGATTTGCCTCTCGTTCAGTTTACACCTATCCAAGGTCTTGGTTCACACTCGTCCAAGGTCTTTTGAACAGGAGTAGAGATTTATCATTTGTTTCCTATTGAGGATTGAGTTTCCGGTTCCTTCTATAGTATTTTCATTATCTTTTATCCCAGTAGCGCCTTAGTGGCATTATCACCTTGCTTGGTGTGAGCTGATTAAAAAAAATCTATTGACGCATTCTTTTCCGCTGCAGTCTAGTTCCATGTAACTCTTTTACATATGACGCCACTTTGTGCGAATATGAATCCCTGTGCTTCAACAAATGCCAGAGTATAAGCAACGAAATCTTGTCTACCGCACTGACAACACAGTGTCCTTGATAATGACTGTGGCGATCGAAAGTACTTGGAGAAAAAACAAAACAAATAATTAACTTTTGACAGTTTATCTACAATTTTAGCTGATGCTAACCCCCCAGGAGAGTCATATATTGCACCTTCTCGGGCTAACGTTTTCCGCTGATAGGAATTGGAAAGATTATATTGAATCAGTTGTTAGGTCTGCTGCTAGGAAAGTTGGTGCACTGCGTCGTGCTAGACAATTTTTCTTGCCAGAATCTGTTTTACACATTTATAAGTCTACCATTTGTCCATGCATGGAATACTTCTGGTCTGGTGCTTCTGCTATGTATGTAGAGATTCTTGATAAATTACAAAGAGGAATCTGCAATATTATAGGCCCTGACCTGCCATCTCAGCTTCAACCACTTTCCCATCGCCGTAACGTAGCTGCATTTTCTAAAAATATTTTAATGACAATTGTTCTGATGGGCTTTCCCCATTAGTACCTAGGCTTTATTAATTTATATATATATATATATATATATATATATATATATATATATATATATATATATATATATATATATATATATATATATAGTTGTATATATATATATAGTTGTATATATATATAGTTTTAAGGTGTGCTATATTTATGGGATAAAGTGCTCAATATCAGAGATAGCGCGTATGTAAATATAAATATAAAAGTGAACACTGAGGTCAACACTCAGAGGCGACAGGCTGTTTTATACTGGACGCAATCGCCAGGCCGCCCGATTGCGTCCAGCATGAAACAGCCTGTCGCCTGTTGACTTCAATGTTCACTTTATATATATATATATATATATATATATATATATATATATATATATATATATATTAAAACGATATATAAATTTCTGTATATCAAGAACAATTTTAGGGAAAAACGTTGACAAAGAAAAGGTTTTCGAAATATCTCTCACATAAGTCAGTGGCAATAGTGTTTTATCTAGCTAATTACCATTATGTGGGAGGTATTTCTGTGAGGTATATGTGGGAGGTATTTCTGCGACACCCTGTATATATATGTGCATATTTGTGTGTGTGTATGTACGATTCTTTCACAGAGCGTCGTGATGCTACAATCTGATCTTAGAGAAAAGGAACAGTCCATATTTAAATAATACCGTTATTTAAAAAAATTCAATTGGATATATATGTTGTTATTTTAATCATGTGTTTGGGTCATGTTTAATTCGATTATATAGTTTAAAGCAGTTATTATTACTTCGATCGTCTCTCAACAGCTTCAACAACCACAAGAGCCGGACCGCATTGAATAATATGAACGGGTTGAAAGTAACGATGTTGACATGGCAACAGCTTTGATTCGATGTTTGTTGACCTAAGGCAGGAACAATTTTTCAAACAATGACCTCTTGTGGCAACAGCAGAATGATGAATATTCATTGATTGTCAATAGGAAAATCAATAGGAATATCGTGATAAATTTGTCACTCTATGAAAAAGAGCGAATATTTGTATCACTTCTAGTTTTTAGACTTGTTCTTTATTCTCGATTGCTCTATCAAATCAATCATCTCATTTCTATTCAAAATATATATTAATTCGACAAAAACAGATCCGTTTTAAACACTGAATTTATCATTTTCTCTGTTGCTATCGGTTTAATTAACAATTTACAGTAGAATCCCTCATATCCGGAATCCCTCATATCCGAAGTGCCTTATATCTGGAATCCTGCATATCCGGACATGATTTTGATATGTATATTTGAACTATTTGGGTGATATGTAACTGATTTGAAATTTCTGTTTTTCAGGAAATTTACTTTGGATAATTGCTTATGCTTATTTCACCCTAATGGCTTGTATTGGTGCAAATGATGATGGGAGTAAGAGGAAAGGATGACATTGAGACACATTTACAACAAGATAGCGACGAGATGCATGATTGTGATGAAACCTGAACTGA